GCATCTTTGTAGCCATTAACTAAAAGGAAACGCTAATTCGATATTGTATCGAACGTGTAATCAATGATGCGTCATAAAATAATTACCAACAAAAATCTCGTTTCTACGAATGATACAAAGTCCGTCGTTAATTACCACATACTGCGATTCCGTACGTAAAAGCGCACGATAAATATCGATTGTCTGTTTTTTAATGCGGAAAAACGTGATTATTCGGTGAAACTTAGTTGTTTCATCATATTCTCTAGATGATCGACGAATTTTCCAAAACGACACATGCCTTTTTCAATACGCAACTGATTATTTGCATCTGCGCAGAGGCATTTCCCGTTCCAAGTACATGCAAATGTTTTACTAACAATAAGTTGGATAAGGTAAGGTAATGCAATTAACTATTTCGGATAGAACAAGGTAAAACTCTTTGTACTTTTTTTTTTCTGAATTGTAGATAGAATAAAGTTTTATTATGGAAAATTATAATAATATATTTCTTACATTTTTATAATGGATTTATTGAGAAGAATTATGGTAAAAAATTTCTTAAAATTAGATTCCCCAGATTTATCATGAAAAATTATGACAGATTGTTTTATTTGTTAAATACTGTAATGAATATGTATGTATTCTCGATTTATTTATTTATTTGTGTGTGTGTGTGTGTGTGTGTGTGTGTTTGTATGTTATGTATAGTTTATGCATTTTTGTAATTTCAATTTTTCATAAATGCGTCTGATGATTAAATCAGGAAAAAGTAGCGACATGGTCCACGTTTCAATTTATCCATGTGTTCAAAATTCCTCGGAAATAAGGAATAAAAATAAAAATTTATTTTCGAGAAAAAAAAGACCTTGGTTGAATGAATTAATGAATATACTATACGAAGAGGCGCAAACATTGCTATGCAGAATGGCAAGGCAACACAGGATTACGTAACATGCAACATTATAAATATCGCATACATTAAAAATGATAAATTGCATAAAACGTTTACACGTATATATATATATATATATATATATATATATATATTTAAATATTCAATATTCCAATTAGAAAATTATATCGTAAAGAAAGATATGTTGTACGATTAATCAATGTGTTTAATACTAACAATGCTCCATTTTTCCAATCGAGAAGAAAAATGTTAGAACAATTCGAACAATAAGTTCTCCAACAACAGATTTCATCTTCAGCAAACGATTTGTAACGATAAAATCAAATAATCAATTCAATCGGATAGATTGCATGGGCTCGCATCATATCATTTGCTGAATAAAACATACATATCTCATTTTTCATTTTCCACGGTATACAAAGAGAATAGAAAGAAATTTTTTATCCATATTTATATTAGCAAGTAGATACAGAATTTCAATCTGTTTGTGACAAAT